AAGGGGGGGGGGTGTTGTTTAACACAAGCATGAAATGACACCCTGAAAAATCAAGTTATTTTTTCATTGAGGTTTTAGATTTAAATTTTAAATTTAAAATAAATACGTTGTAAGCTAAGTAAATAGATTTAGTTTTTTCATTCCACATGAAACATGTGAACTAAAAACAGGATAATATCACCATTAATACTTGAATTCAACATTAAAGATGGTTGCTAATATTATGGCGATATAGAATAGAAAGAAAGAATTTATTACCAATCAGGGGCCCCTAAGGCATAAACATTTAACATATATGATTACATATAAAGATAATAAAGTAATAACAGAATACAACATGTGGTGAAGAGCAATTCTTCTATTAAGTATATATATATATATATACTGATATATATGTTGGTGGCAATATATACGACAACCATTGCTACATACACGTGTAAATATTATTTTCAAAACCACGTTTTTTCAGCACGTAATCGCAAGTGCGCTGTGGGGAAAAAGGGTAACGTCATTAAATAGAAACAAATGTAATGCACATTAAATCACAGACGGCGTGATAGGCAAAGAGTTAATATTTTTAATACATAAAATTTGTTGCTAATTATTTTCAAATAATTTAATTATAATTTTAATTCACATGCCATAACGACGGCATGTTTAGAAACGGGGGGGTGTTAAATTACTAGTACAGAATTTTATTTTTTTGTTTAATTTCAATCTAATGTTAACGTTAGTTTGAATAATTGTTAATTTTCTATTTTTTTTAAATCCTTTGTTAAATGTGTATACAGATACATGTACACCCCTTAAAATATATTGGAATCTTTTTTCCGCTTTAATTCAACTGTGATCAAGGTCATTTACAACAGCGATCACGGGCTCCGAGTGCATGAAACTAAAAAACCCGTTTTGCTATTTATATACCTGTTGAGTTCACGGCTTAATGACACCTGAAAATTACGGGTGTTGCTAAAACGCGGAACGGAAAGCGGAACGGAACGGAAAACGGAATATATCATTTTGGATTAAATCACTTAAAATACACAAATTTTATCATGAACCAAAATCTTGTACATTTTTACACAATCAATCCCCCCGTATTAAATAAAATTGATTTTGCCATGCTTAGTCTCTTATTTACAAAATGCTAACATAGCAGTTACATGTAATAACATTGAAAAAAGGGGGGGGTCAAACAACTGGAAAAAATTTTGACAAGAAAAAAAAACACAAAAAGAAGACAATTGTTTGATTTGGGAAGGGAGATAAAGCACAAAAAAAAAACAAATTTTTTATTGGGGGGGTAAATTAACTCCCAACATTTTTGGTATTTTTTTTTACACTAACTTACAATGTTTATTATATTCACAAAAAGTGTGAAAATGTGAACTTGAACGAACATTTCCGTAGTTAAAAGGTTATACTTGGGGGGGGGGGGGGGAAATATTTGGTATCTAAATGAACCATGGAAAAAGAAGAAAAATGATTTTAAAAAAATATTGAGATTACGTCTAGGGTAAATCAAAAAAATCTCTATACACAATGGTCGTTAAAATTTTATTTAATATAGAGTCCTTTTCTGGATAGACAAGTTGTGGTAGATATAATGCAGATTGCAGAATTTTTGCATACATTTAAGTTAAATTTTGTTTGTTTGAACAAAATGTGCATGTTGGGGGGAGGGGGCGTACATGAATGACCCCTAAAACATGAGGTGTTTTAAAGCTCATCGGAAAGATCTGAGAAGTTGTAATAGGTCCCCCCCCGTTTTTGTGTCCAAAATGTACATAAGATTTAATAAATCAATTTTTAATGTGGCTTTGGGCCCCTACACAGACCCGAAACTGCCCCCCCTTTCATGACTCGCGAATTCGACACTGCATGCATAATCTGAATACTGTAGATGACTTAATTTTCGCGACCCCTTATTTTCGCGAGGTAGTCATTGACTCTTTATAAGAAAGACAAAATTTTCACGATTTGTGGTCTTTTCTCTATATAATCTCAAGGAATTTTAAAATACGCGAGAATGAAATTTTTGCGAGCATACCGTCTCGCGTAATTACGGTAAAGGGAAAATAAAGTTCTCGCGAATAAAAAGTGATTTACAGTAGCATAACTAGATGTTTTTGTCTTTTCAGACATTGACATTGAAAGAGGGAGTGGGGGTAAGAAAAAAAAATTCAACATACAACAAATTTGACAAGCAAAAAAGGGGGGGTATTTTTTTGCCCAAAAACGAAAATTCTATTTCGTGTGTGTGTGGGGGGGGATTTTTTCAGTAGCATTTTTTCCAAGGAGAGTGTGTATAACTCTTGAATATATAATAGTTTACAATAAATTTTTATTAGAAATGACTTTTACAACAAGAATATTGTTCTTTGACTGATTTATATTGAATCTATGTTATTTGTTTGACAAAATTTTTTCCGTTTTCCGTTCCGTTCCGCTTTCCGTTCCGTTTTCCGTTCCCGTTTTAGCAACACCCGAAAATTACGACTGGGTTATATTTTTTTTTGACATAAAATGGTTTATAAAAAATTTTTTGGGAAATTTTTTTTTTTCTTTTATTTGTAAATCCGATTTTCTAGCCGTTAACAGTAAAATAAACAGAACTGATTTGGTAGTCCTTTCATGAATAAGTTTAGGAGTATATCTTGAATAATTGTATTTTATTTCATTTGTTTTATAAATCACGTACTTTTTAATCTAAAATATTTTTGTTTTCTATAAAATATACCTAAATTCCGTGTAAGATCGATCAAATTTTATGTACAATGTTAAAAAATGCCCGGGCTATATAATTAATGTACACAAACTTACATACGTCTAGTCGGGTTTTGAAATGAAGGATTTTACAGTATGATGAGTAACTGGGGTTATTTGAAAAGCTTCATGTAAATAAGAAAGAGAATGAACATAAATGAACATAAATTAAGACATCACATTTTCCCCCCACCCCTACCGGTTTCCCTCCTAAATAATGCTTGCGTAAGATAAAAAAAAATTCTTAACAATTATATCAATAATCCTTAATAGAGTATTAAGGCAAATTTTATTATTAAATCAAACTCAAGAAAAATAATCCGCCTACGGAAAACAAACGCAATATAACCAATATTTTTTAAAATCAATGAGATCAAGTTTCTCAGTAAGAAATCGAATTTTTGTTAAATGTATCAAACTATACTCGTAAAATTATTTAAATGCAAGAAATAAATTGTAATGAATGACTAATATATAAAAATTGTATTTTATCAAACAGTCATTCATAACATCGGTATTTTGTTTTTAAACATTTGGATAAATAAATACAAAACGACAATTATTTATTAATTCATTACAACTCTCAGAATATTAAATATTTCTATCGGTTTATATGATACTAATGTACTAATATTTAATCTAAACAACAGCTAAATGTGGCTTTGTGAAAGATTTCCATTTAATTAATGATGAAACCGATAAATGTCCAAGATATACCGAGTAAAAAATCCAAACTGAGACCAAAACGTGCGAGAAACGTGTACAAAGCGTGTGAGAAACGTGTACAAAGCGTTTCGTGAAGCCTTTCGTATAAACCGTGCAGTCTTTCGTGCAAAGCGTTTCGTGTAAACCGTGTAGGGTTTCGGGCAAACCGTGTAGCGTTTCGTGTAAACCGTGCAGCGTTTCGTGCAAACCGCGTGGCGTTCGGAACGTTCGTGCAGCAGCATGTGGAGTAGTAGCACGTCTCAGAGTTTGCACCTATACATTTCATAAAACATTGTTTTTATACCCCACCCGACACAGAAAAGTATGAACATTAAAAATCTTGCCGGAAATGAAACCCCGGTTGTTTTACTTATAAGAGTGTGTAAAGTTTTGGTAACCTTACTTTTCTAATCACGTGAAAACAAGACGATATTACATTTAAAAAGAAATTTGACTGAAACAAAAACACAATAAATATTCTACATTTATAGACGCTTTTGAGAAAAAACCCGGGGTTCCTGGTAAAAAATCCCCATCAGGTTATGAAAATTATTTTCTTCCTTGTCAGAAACGACTGTCATGAAAAAAATGTATTTCCAGAAGATATATTCTATTATTCAAAGTCTTTTGTCGAAACAAAACTTTCCGTGTTAATATTGATACTAAATAGACCTTGATCGTATTTCCTTCCGTATTTAAGTATGGCTTCATAAACTCAACAACAAACTTAGTGATGAACACAAACAGTTATACTGAAGGTATCCCTCTCTTAACTATTCTCTCTCTCTATCTCTCTCTCTCTCTCTCTCTTTTGTGGTAAAAGGATAAAACAGTAATTGTTTGGGAAAAAACAAAATATCTGATCATCGTGCCATTTGATTAATTAAGGGAATCCATTGACAAACTCTGTATTCTCATTTCTGTAGCTGTGTGTAATTTGAGGAATGCTTCTTGTCTGAGAGATTGTTGATATGAGTATAGAGCAGCCTGCTATATATATTATTCATTTAACTGTGCTCACAAACAACAATTAACTGAAATAAAGTCTGTAAATCAGTATAATAATTCTGATAATTGTAGCTGTTTCTAGGTTGTTTATTGGTTCTTGTCTGAAGGATTGTTGGTATGAATATAGAGCAGCCTGACGGTTCCCTGTCACCTGTTGACAGATCCCCAGAATTTGCCATGATATATCTCTGAGATATAAAGGTATAAACTCTCCCTGATCATAGTGAACTAGGGTTGTAGATCATCTAGAGCTGTTTGTGCTCGCATTGTGTCTACATGTCTGTAGCACAAAATCTCAAGCATGTATAACAGGATAAAAAGTGGTACAAAAATAAAAGGCCCGTGTCTCTGTAGAGCAGACTGTTGTTCAGGTATCAGTTCACTGATGTAATGAATTCTGTTGCAAAGTGTGATATCCCTGTTACAGCCTGTCTAATCTTTGTAGACCAAGACTGTCCCCCTAAAGCCTCAGTATACATCTCTCTATTAAAATTACCTATATCCATCACATATGGCTGTGCTTACTTGACCTTGATCATCTCTATAATAGATAAAGCTTCCGTGTATCTAAGTGTCTTGTAATAATACATGGCTATGTACAGCATGTCTGTAATACAACCAAACTTTGCTGCTAATTTCAGCATGTGACAGGACATTTTGTCAGCTCTATACCTCAGTTTGTTGTCAGGTGTGTAAGTTTCCATATGTAATATAAAAGCAGTGAACTGAAGGACCGTAGCGGTCATGTTCTGTAGCATAATGACTTGATACTGTGTCAGGAGGGGTGAACCTATCATCTGTTCTATTGTATGTAAATATCTAATACATATTTGTATGTCATCTTTGTCTAGAACTATGAAAGAACTTAGTGATTCACCAAAAAGATATAAATCAAAATGATAGTCAGAAATCAGAGTATGATCATCTGTACAGATGAAGTTTCTGGGGTTATAGAGGACATCTATAATACAAGATCTAATGGAGGGACAATGAAGCAGGAATGCTAAACCCTTTTCATACAAATCTGACAGTTTTATAAATAGTTGATGTTGTTTGACGCCATGAATTTTTGTCAGAAACATGTTGTTGCCTGGAATGAAAAAGTTAGGACAGACCCCCTCATGCACCCATTTGAGGATGAGTTTAAAACAGACCCAGAAACACCCCAGGAGATTTTGTGGACACCAGTGAGGTATTGCATTTTGTTGAATCACCCAGAAAACTGCCGTCTTCATGTGATAGGAACACAGTAATTTATCATTATCACTTACTCCATTGTTAATTATTTCTGTTAAGATCAATTTAAGTAAGCCATAAGTTAAGAATTGACAGTGATTCATTATATACACAAGTTTTTGTTCTGCTTGGGAAAAAGAAATTCTCCATTCATGATCTTCATGATTCCCTAGTTTATGTCCAATTGCTACAAAGTGACATCCATTCTTCACTATATCATCAACAACATGAGGCTGGGGCCATGAGTGACATCTGTCTATCCATGGAAAGGCAGAGGGAGGCCAAAAGTCACTAAAAAAACAGTAGGCATTATCATATTCTTGTGTTCCAAATGTTCCACTGGCACAGGGTCCATGTGGAGTGGTGTAATAAGGTAGTGATGACTCAGATAAAGTGATCTGTCTGTATTTAGAACTAGATATACAATATCTGTTATTCATTCTTACACAGACTCTCTGGTTTTGTCTATACATGCTAGGTGACAGTAAATATAACAAAGTAAATCCTGGCGGACTATCAGAACAGTCACAGAGGATCAGTGTCTGTCTGTGTGTGTTGTAATACTGAGACTGAGATAATTCCCAGATCACACGGTGATTATTTCGCCAGTACATAAAGTCTAGATCTGATCCTTTCAGTCTAAGTCCTTCACCGTAACTTCCACTCAAAATCACACACAACCCATCACTTCTCGCTTGATTTACCACCATCTCCTCGATGTCCATCGTATCTCTCCTCATGGCCACCACTTGTGAGGTCCCCACTTTACGACACAGTCCCACAAACACTGACTCTGATATGCGTTGTATGGCTTTAGTACTGAGAATGATAAAGTGGAATTTATATTTCTTGTATAATGAATGTTTCACTTTTATAAAACTATAATATAGTTATCATAATTGATAAATTTTACATTAAAAATCATAAAATATAAAAACAATACTTCCTCAACTGAATCAGTTATTTTTCAACTCAACTAAATCATTCATTTTTTTTAAATAGTTAAATTTGTAAATAAACGTGTCTAGGATATATATATATATTACATGTATATGTTTTAAATTCAGTGGTGTAAAAATTTACAACCAATTTTATTGTCAACAAATTACACTGATTACACTGATTGAGATGAATAAGGAATTGTTTTTTAGTGTTAAAAATTCTTGTCATGAGAACTTACATTTGTGAGCTTCTAATAGAGTCCATTTTCAGTGGAGTATATTCCTTTCTGCTGATTTAACCTCAAGGAGCTTCCTCTAGATAGGTATTGGGGTCAAGCTAGGACATCTACAATTCTAATTTGCAAGTGAATATAATATTTTAGACGTATCTCAGTTAACTCTGCTTAGGAAATATAGAAACTTTCTTACCAAATCAAATTCTGTCAAAATGTTAAATTTCCTACTTACCCAATATAACTCAAGTTGTCAATTTCGTTTCCTGTATGTATTGTGGACTCCTGTTGCTTTCAAAGAAATTTCCTGGTACAGACTTTAAATTAGTAACACTTGAACTTTGGCTTAAAATATTTCTAGCTATGGGATTAGTTTTATCCTTCAATATAAACAAAAAGTGTAGCATAATAAAATTGTGGATTGCTAAGAATGGTTCTTATGTAGGCTGGGGCTTATAGTGTTTGTTATGTCCATCTTCTGTCCTTCCGTCACACTTTGCATTTAGCTCAGTTCAAAGCTCAGATTCAAAGAAATTAAGATATTTTCATCAAAGTACTGTTACATGTACATATTGATGAGAGTCACTCAGGTGACCTATTGCTATCCGTTTTCGTCCGTCGACGTGCGTCACAACTTGATGTACTGGCCCCAGGGATCAGGGGTTTTAGTTTTAGAATGGGGCTCTATTGATTATAAGTGAAAATGCATTAATTCTTTGAAAATCTTCTCTGCTCCCAAGTATTAAAAAAACAAACGAAGTACTTAGTTATGATGAGCAAGGGAATGGCTCTACCAAAATTGTAGATTTCATGGCCCTAGCGTCAGGAGTTCTGGTGTTAGGGTGAGGCTCCTTTGATTATATAGTGAAAATGCATTATTTCTTTGAAAATCTTCTTTTCTGCTCCTGGGTATTAACTTCGTGCATAGTTATGATGAGCAAGAGTGCCTCTACCAAAATTGTGAATTTTATGGCCTGAGGTTCAGGGGTTCTGGTGTTAGGGTGGGGCTCTTTTGATTATATAGTAAAATGGAAATATAAAGAATCACTGTCTAGTTAGTAGAGTATTCCAGGAACATCAACGATATCGGAAAGATGGGATAATTTATGCATAGCGGGCTTTGCAATTATGAGTTTTGATCATGAATCAATTTCTTTTGATGATAAGTTGATGTAATAGGAATGTGTTTCAAGAGTCTGGCTAAAAATTGTTAAAACTACTGTCAATTATCAAATGGAGTAAGGTTTTTTATGAAAAGATCTATACGTTTTTACTTATTTTATATGTCAGAATTTAGTGTAGATAAAAATCATATATGTTAACAATCTTCCAGGAAATTGATTTCTCTGTGGACACGGCATTTAACAAAAAGTCAATGAATTTGAAAACAAATTCTTCATTTAAAAAAAAACTCCCCAAATATATATATTATCTTAACATTTCTTATTCTACATGTCGTAGACATTTCTTTGAATAAAGCCTGGTTTAATTTCTGATTTTCTGATAGGGAATCAATTTACATACAAGGCACTTAAATTAAATTTTACTTTAAAATCAGCATTATCTTTGTTTCTCATTTGAATTCATTTCTACAATCGGAAATGGTCAGGAACCTTTTGGTTTAAATACAAAATGAAAATTCAGTGTTCCTCTTAAAATTCAGGAGTCCCTCTGAAGAAGGTTATGTTTTCAAAAAGTAAAATATCTTACTGGTATGTAAATTGAATTCCTATCATGTCATTTCAATGAAGACAAGGGTATGATGTTTTCTATTTAGTTGTTTTAAAACATCTTGAATGGCTGTCATGAACAAGGGACTGACTCTGTGTTTTTTTTGAAATCGGAATTTAAATCTGAAACACTGTTGATGTTGGTAATGAGCTTTTATGGAATTTAATTAAAGTCCTAATTAATTAAACTCTTGGATTTAGTTACATGTATGATGACCTGGTGACCAGTTTACTTAATTCCAGTCAGTGCACCAGCCTTCAAATTCAAGTTACTTTTTAGCAGAGTTCAACTAATTAAGTGAAAAAAAAAATTGTGTGACATGTAAAATTTTGGATTCTGTATGTAATATGAACATGATGAAGAACCATGAGATTTTTCACAAAACCATCCTTTCTCCATAGTAGTTCCTTTATTTCCTAACTAACAAGTGAAACTAAACTACCTTGAGTTTATGTCAGTTACCCTGTGTATAAAATTAGGACGCCTCTATGTACATGTATAGTACTATAAACTGGAGAGTGTTTTCTTTATTTTCTCCTTAATGTTCCCTTTAACTGATGGTTCTTTGTGATTTGGTGTGAAATCAAACAACATTTCTATGTTAATGTGTTGACACTGACTTCACCACTAAACCCAGTGGTCCAACAGGGGGCATATTGTACACACTGATTAACTCTATGCAATCCTCCTTATTTATTGACTTTCAGATCACTTTTTAACAAATTTATTTCGTGCTCAGTATCATGGATCAGAGGGAAATTATATTTCTTTAGGGTAAATTCTATTTTTCTAATGAGGTAAATGAATTGTAATTTGTTTTTTGAGCTGAAATCATTTTTATTTTCTGTGTATTTCCAAAATGTTGGTAGGAATTACTCCAGTATTTGTCTTCTCATTATGAAGTTTTGTAATGACATTTTTCAAAACTGTTGCATTGTGAAGATAGTACTGAAATGTTGTCTCTACGAAATCAATATAAATATGATTGATAATCTTTCTGCATGCTTTGCCGTAAAATTACAGTAAAATTTCTAAATACTAGGTACTTCAGAATATTACAACATGTTGCCCATTGGTCCTTTTATAGGAAAAACATGCTTAAAATGAAATGCCAAGAATGGACAATGTTGCTTTGTTACACCTGTTAAGTTTACAATATATTTAAAAGTTTTTGGGAATGAAAATCACTACTTTAAGTGTAAATTCATTATATGGGTGTTTTCTATAAGTATGGTTCACTATTATTTTCCAGATGTCCAGGAGACTTTGGAGACCAAGCGTGAGGAGATTGCGGCGCTCCGTCCTTGTATGTTAGAGGAATACGAACAACTTCTCAAGGTCCCAAGCAGAAGTCATGGCAACCCAGACACAGGAAGTGGAGAAACTCCAGAGAGAGATGGAACAACTCCACCAGAGTTACGCAGAGCAGATCAAAGTGTTCCAAACTAAAGTGGAGGAACAGTCAGGTAATGAATAGGTCAACTCCACCAGAGTTATAAATAGAACAGCACCACCAGAGTTATAAATAGATCAACTCCACTAGAGTTACGCGGAGCAGATCAAAGTGTTTCAAACTAAAGTGGAGGAACAGTCAGGTAATAAATAGGTCAACTCCACCAGAGTTATAAATAGAACAACTCCACTAGAGTTATAAATAGATCAACTCCACCAGAGGTATAAATAGATCAACTCTACCAGACTTATAAATACATCAACTCCACCAGAGTTATAAGTAGGTCAACTCCACCAGAGTTATAAATAGAACAACTCCACCAGAGCTATATAAAAGAACTCCACTAGAGTTATAAATAGAACAACTACACCAGAGTTATAAAATAGATCAAATTCACCAGGATTGTGCAGTGCAGATCAGATAGCATCAGATACTGGATCTGATCTATATTTTCCAGATGAGTGACCAGGATAATGTTTTTTAAGCTTTTTAAACTTTGATAACATGTTTTATTTTACAGAAGAGGCCATGCAGACCAGACTAAAGGAAGAGAATGAAAAAGAAATCCAGGATTTAAAAGATCATTATGAATCTCAAAATAAAAGAACTACGCAGTCAGCTAGAAGCTACAACACAGGAAGTGACATCACTGAAACAGGAAGTGACATCACCAAGTGATGAACAGAATCAAAAAAGCAGTGAACAGAGTGAAACAAATAAAAGAAAAGCAACGACAAACACTGACAGCAGGATCCAGGAATTAGAAAAAATACTGGAGGAAAAATCAAATGAAATTGCTGAACTTCAGGAGAAACTAGAATTTGAGTCTCAATTAAATATAGAACTCAGGGAGAAAATGACCTTGACAGAGAGCAAGATCACAGAGATGGAGCAAATGATGCGTGAAAAACAGTGCCATATTGAAGAAATGAACAATAGATTAAAGGAAAAAGAGGCCATATTGAAGATTCTGGAGAGAGAGAAGGAAGAAGTGGAGGAGAATTGTAGGAGAGACCTCGCAGAGTGTGAAGGTTCAAGCGAGAGAACAACGGGCGAGATCAGTGATAAACTTCTGAAACCTCAACAAGAACTAGACGCATCACTGGAGCAGGAGAGAGTGTTAGAAGAGCAGTACGACGAGCTACAGCATCAGCATAGGGAGCAGATAGAGGCATTGAGACAGGTAGAGAGAGTCAAGAGAGAGAGTGTTAGAGGAGCAGTATGATGAACTTCAGTATCAGCATAGGAAGCAGATAGAGGCATTGGGACAGCTGAGAAAGAGTAAGAGAGAGAGCAAGTAGAGGCAATGAAAGAGATAAGAAAGAGAGAGAAATGGAGAGAGAAGAGGGGGGAGAAAGGGGTAGAGAGAAGGCATTGAAATAGGAGAGAGAAAGAACGGGGGGGGAGAAGGCAGATTGAGGGCATTGAAATTGGAATTAAGGTATCTATTTAGTATTACTATACAAATAAAAGAAACAAATGTGAAAAATGAGGAAATGCTTTTCAGGACTTGGAGCATGAACACCGAGCTGAGATCATGGACGTGCAGTCAAAGTTCAAAGTTCAATATGACATCGAGCTGAAGATACAAGCGGCAGACATGACGTACGATTTCGGAGAAAAAATTAAAAAGATGGACAGAGACCAGAGGAAAGAACTTGAAGAGTTAGAGAGGAAGAGGAACTGGAAGAAATGGTAAGTCAGAAAGTCATGGCTATGTCAAGGTGTCAGGGAAAAGTGATAGAAGTGAAATATAGAGGAGTCAGAGTGTGGCTAAGTCAAGGTGTCAGGAAAAGTCATAGAAATGAAATATAAGAGAATTCATAGTGTGGTTAAATGGAGGTGTCAGTTGTAACTAAAAATGTCAAAAAAATGAAATATAAGAGGAGTCATAGTATGGCTAAATCAATATGTCAAGGAGCTGCTGTTGGGAGTTTCATAAGGGGATGGAAATGTGGGTTGCAGGGAGGGTTTGGTTGGGGATGGGGGGATAGTAATAAAAAAAATTTGAGGAATCATAGAGAGTGGTTAAATAGAAAGAGTTAGAGAAGAAATGGAATGCAAATATGAAATGGGTATAAGGAATGGTAAACTATCAAAGAAAGATGAGTGTGAAAATTAAAGGAGTTAAACAGCAAGAGTTGGGGGGGGGGGGGTGTAACCTAACTGTGTGGGTAGGGGAACACTTTGCTTAACAGTTTATTTAATTGACTGTAAGAATTTGAGTTCTGCTTACAGAAAACTAAATATTGAAGACTTTTGTAAGATGTTTGTCTCAGATTTAACTGTTGATCTATGTGCTTTAATTGTATATTTATTATTACATCATAGTTAATGGAATCGGAGAAACTGGGGCTCTGAAGTAGAGTTGATCTAAGATTATATACTGGTTGGAGTGTTTGATTTCTCTACATAACACACACTGATGTTTACAGTGCTAGACTGCTGGGTGTTTAGGCTTTTGTAGTTAGTTGTAAGAACTTTGAATACGTAAGACTGAAGATTACTTTGGAAAGTTTCTGGTTCTTGAGAAATATTTAAGAATGGTTGACGTTGATTGAAAAGAGTGCTTTGAATGGAGTCTGTTCCTCTATCATTCCCCTGTAAAACCATTATCTGAAAATAGACTTGAATAAATAGTTGGATTCTGAATTAACATACTGTAAACCAACTTTAATTCGCAACGACTTTATTTCCCCATATACCAAGGGTAAACTATTTGGTGACGATTAATTTTCGCGATCAGGCCTCTTTCAATCTTTTGTAAATAGACAGAGAGGTGTAAAGTACCGGTTCGTGGCGAGAAATATTCGCGATTGTGAGACTGTCGCGAACTTTGCCAACATTTCTCGCACTCGCGGGTATGTTAAGGCAGCACATGGATCAGAATTCGGCGAATTAACACTTTTTTGTAATTATGTAACACTAATAAATCAGATGAGTCAAGGATAAAACTTGTACTATAATTATGCATTCTATAGACTTCAATGGGACTTATACTACAGGAGGCACTTCACCAAAACGTCACCACGTGACGTCTATAATTAGAAAATATGCCTTAATGAAAAAGTGAAAAGTTTAACACTACCCCGGGGATAATTAGTTTCAATTTGTAATAATAGTTATGTAAAAACATCTCTGTACCATGAAAAGTGCTGCTAGAATCGTACTGTCCTATTGTAGAAATAATTATTCAACAATTTCGGACGAAACCTTCCCAAAATTTTTACATTTTGTTCATACCGAAAAAAAGCATCAATTCCCGTAACCATACGATTCTACAGCCCTTTCCAAAACCAATAGAATAACAACTTTAGATAGAAACAAAAATTAAGTTTCAAGGTATGCGGCGTAGTGTTGAACTTTTGCATCTTTTTGTTACGAACGACAGAGGAAAGACTGATCGGCAAGTAAACACCCTCCCTGCTATACTTTTACGAAGAAATTGCTAAATTATATTACCATACCTTATTCATACGCTTAATTCCCACAAGAATCACACATGATATTCATTCTAAATGCTTTTAAAATCCGATTTCTTGTGTTTGTTTACATCAATTCTCGTTACATTTTACTTTCACTCTGCTACTGCATGATCAACAGTTATGACGTCACGGGTTTGGTATGTAACCCCTGTGATAACTACAGAGGCCCAGGAACGACAAATTTCCGTTTATATTATGCCTCTGCATATTTTGATTCATTTTTACGACCTCAAATCAATCTTAGATATCGATTTTAAGAAATTATTATCTCACGTCATATAGCTTACTATGACGTCATGACATATAGGCAAGTAGAAAGTGTGGTTGAGACCTTAACCTACCTGCGGTAGAATAAAAGTTGGTTTACAGTCTTCTTGAAACTTTATAATTTTCTTTTGAAAAAAAAAATGTATAAACTCAATCAGTTGCTCAAGTCAGAATATGACTTTGTATCTCACCCCTACCCTCTTTTCCAAATTTTCTGATTCCTTTTGCAATTAGGTTACTTATCAGAAAACAAGGCACAGAACAAGATCAGATTTATCTCTGAGAGATTTAACACAGTATATTTCTACTTTTTTTCTCTAGAAACTCAATCAATTCTTCACAGAATACTGTAAATCTGGAAATTTTTGCTGTAGATAATTTTTTTAGCAAATTTGCTAGTGGCATGGCATTCTCAAAAATATAAACTTCTTAAAAATAAAATGTTGACGAGAGATATCCTGAGAGGTTACAGAATGGTGTTAAGCTTATTTTGTTCCCTAAACCGAAAACTAATTTCCAGAAATGTCTTCGGTGGATCAAAGCTTGCGGACGTCCACACGAACAGTTGAACATTCAGAGAATAAACAAACACAAAGCTGTTTGTTCAAAGGTACAGCTGGTTATAATTTAA